AACAGATGATCCTTCCAGAATAAGTCAGAAACCAAGAGTGGAGGACAGAAAAAGGGTCATTGGTGAGGATACAGGAAGTCCCTTTATTGGAAACTCATAGAATCTGAAGAATCTGGGGCTTCAGATAGTTCCACTTGAGCTGAGGGCCTAATTCATGGAACAATTAAATGGAAGGAACTGTTGACATGACACAATTTCTACTGCTGTCATGATGTCCATGATGGCTGCTAGATTCCTGGTCATTTTTGACCAATTTACTAGATGGAGCCATACTACACTAATTCGGAAGGAACTATGTCAGCTTCCTAAGTATTTTTTATTCAAGATGGCACTGATCACCCTTAAAACTGCAAACACTGGGTCCCAAACATCTGAAGAACTTTTCTCATATGTATGTTCTTTACTTCTATATTGCTATACTAAAAAAACAAGTGGCTGAAATAATGAAACAATGATAAAACAGTGAAACAATTCAGAAAAACCTCTAAGCAAACAAGTCTCAGGGTGGTGCAGGAAACATTTCTCAGTGGGAATCCACCTAATCTCAGTGGGGAGATGATTCCATAATGAATAGTGCCACTGCGAACAAGATGTTCCTCAGTACCAATACTATAGTTCCCTATTATTTCTTACATAGTTTTTTTGTTTCTGTGTTGGCTTTCTCTCAAAAGGGAATTCTGGCATGATGCCTACCTACCTATGAGTGTAACCCCATCCAAAAGAGGAAGATCATTTAACTTTCAGCCGGCGGCCCAAGGGGACCCAGCCAGCAGGCCAGCCCTCCCTCGCCTTCTCTCCCAAGGCCAGGTTGCAGAGAGAGACCCTCCGGCCACCTTCCAGGTACTCCTTTCTACCGCCTGCCAAAAGGCTTCCCACTCCATCCCTTCCTTCCTTCCTTCCTTCCTTCCTTCCTTCCTTCCTTCCTTCCTTCCACCAGCGCCCAGGTGGTGGGTGGGTGGGTGGATTGGCTGCCTTCTGGGCTTAGGAACCCCACTGCTCTTCCCAGAGTTTGGAGAAGTTCGCCTGGCCACTACAAGGCCCAGCATCCCCTGCCCCACAGGGCCAAACCGGCATCCTGGGACAGGTAGCCCGAACAGGGAGCTGTTTTGAGGGAAAGGGGGTCTCCACCAAACCCTGCAAACACGGAGGAGATGTGGCTGAGAATAGCGGGAGGGGGCTGTTCCTTATTGAGGACTAGCTTACTATATAAGGAGGGCTGCGAGCTTACCATTGAAATAAAGGAGGCCTTACTCTTTTCATTGCAAGTAAATCCGGATGGCCATCTCCCCTCCTGGACGGCAGAGGGGCTTCGATCCTCCCGGCCATCGGATTAGTTTCCTCTCTGCCGTCCCTTGTCTCTGAAAAGTGGAGGTATTGTTTAAGACCAAGTTGTCTTATTAAAGGATATAACTTCTCTCTCTCTCTCTCTCTCTCTCTCTCTTTGGTTCCCCAAACTGGGTCTGGATTTCACTGGATTCTCTCCCGATTTTCAGAGCAAGGGTCTCAAAATCGTTGCCTTGAGCCAACCTACGAACAGATCCCAGAGACACCCCCCCACCCCACCCCCATTCTCCAGGAACTTTCTTATGGCTTCTTATATGTTTTGATGCAGGCACAGATTTTATTTTTATTTTCGTTTCCATTGCAAGGCACCAGGCAGTGGGTGCTCAAATCAGAGTAAAGCTTCCTTTACTTCTAAAGCTTACTTCAAAGTCAAACTGCCTGAGATCTGGTGGCATAATTATTACGTATGTGTGTGTGTCTGCATGGAAGCTTACACCACAGTATGCAAGGCCTGGATCCTTTCACACCAAGTGTGGCCCTGGGTATCTTTGCACAAACTTAAATCCTCTAGAATTTTATTTCCTAAGCCACTTAAGAACCGGTATTATTTGCTGAAATGCTGGATAGCTACTTTTATCTTTTTCTCCTTTTTTTCCT